CCAGCGGATATTGGCAATTTGGTCTCTCGTTCCTCTGCCTTTTCTAAACCCAGCTTGAACATCTGGCAACTCTCGCTCCATGTATTGCTGGGGTCTTCCTTGCAGGATCTTGAGCATTACCTTACTGGCATGAGAAATAAGGGCCACTGTACGGAAGTTTGAGCAGTCTTTCGCATTTCCCTTTTTTGGTATGGGGATATAAGTTGATTTTTTCCCAGTCTGATGGCCATTCTTGTGTTTTCCATATTTGCTGGCATATGGCATGCATCACCTTGACAGCATCATCTTTTAAGATTTTAAACAGTTCAGCTGGGATCCCGTCGTCTCCTGCTGCCTTGTTGTTAGCAATGCTTCTTAAGGCCCATTCAACCTCACTCCTCAGGATGTCTGGTTCTAATTCATTCACCACACCGTCAAAACTATCCTCGATATTATTATCCTTCCTATACAGATCTTCTGTATAGTCTCGCCACCTTCTCTTGACCTCTTCAGCTTCTGTTAGGTCCCTGCCATCTTTGTTTCTTATCATACCAATTTTTGCCTGAAATTTACCTCCAATGTTTCTAATTTTCTGGAAGAGGTCTCTTGTCCTTCCTATTCTGTTGTCTTCTTCCACTTCCATGCATTGCTTATTTAAAAATAGTTCCTTATCTCTTCTGGCTAACCTCTGGAATTGCGCATTTAACTGGGCATATCTCCCCTTATCCTGTTTCCTTTTGCTTTCCTCCTTTCTTGGGCTACTTCCAGTGTCTCAGCAGACAACCATTTTGCTTTCTTGGTTTTCTTTTTCTTTGGAACGTACTTTGTTGCCGTCTCCTGAACAATGTCGGACTTCTGTCCATAGTTCTTCTGGGACTCTGTTTACTAAATCTAGTCCTTCAAATCTGTTCTTCACTTCCACTGTATATTCGCTAGGAATGTTAGTGAGATCATATCTAACTGGCCTGTGTATTTTCCCTGATCTCTTTAGTTTTATTCTAAATTGGCAATAAGAAGTTCGTGATCTGAGCTACAGTCAGCCCCAGGTCTTGTTTTCACCGACTGGATGGATGTCCGCCACCTTTGGCTGCAAAGGATGTAGTCAATCTGATTTCGGTGTTGACCGTCTGGTGAGGTCCATGTGTAAAGCCGTCTTTTAGGTTGTTGGAAGAGAGTATTCGTTATACACAGCGAGTTTTCCTGGCAAAATTCTATCAGCCTGCGTCCCTCTTCATTTTGTTCTCCCAGACCATGCTTGCCTGTGATCCCAGTTGTCATTTGACTTCCCACCTTGGCATTCCAGTCTCCTGTAATGCAAATAATGTCTCTTTTTGGTGTATTATCCAGTAGGTCCTGCAGATCCTCATAGAACTGATCTACTTCTGCTTCTTCAGCAGCTGTGGTTGGGGCGTATATTTGGATCACTGTGATGTTGAAAGGCTTTCCTTGCACTCGAATTGAGATCATTCTGTCATTTTTTGGGTTGTATCCAAGCACTGCTTTAGCGAATTTCTTATTAATTATGAAGGCTACTCCATTTCTTCGATGTTCCTCTTGTCCGCAGTAGTAGATCTGGTGGTCATCTGATGTGAAGTGGCCCATTCCAGTCCATTTCAGTTCGCTGACCCCAGAATGTCTATCTTTAGTCTTGACATCTCACCAATAACAACATCCAATTTGCCCTGGCTCATAGATCTTACATTCCAGGTTCCTATGGTGTGTTGATCTTTAGAGCATCGGATTCGTCGTTCACCTCCAGTACCGTCGGCCGCTAGCCTTCCTTTCGGCTTTGAGCTAGCTGCGTCATCACATCTGGGGCTAGTTGAACTTATCCTCTGCTCCTCCCCAGTAGCATTTTGGCCATCTTCCGACCTGGGAGTCCCATCTTCCAATGGCATACCGACATATCTCTGGTTGTACTGGTCCATTTAGTTTTCTTGGCAAGGATACTGGAGTGGTTTGCCATTGCCTTCCCCAGGGATCACGCTTGGTCTGACCTCTCTGCCACAACCGTCCCGTCTTGGGTGGCCCTTCACGGTTTCGCTCATGACATCATTGAGGTGCTCAAGCTCTAGCGCCCCGACAAGGCGGTGATCCTTTGCTGGAGGGAGAGATTGATATAGTCTTAAAAATAAAATGTTGTGAACAGGTCAGCCTGTCCATTTGAAGTTTGTAGGTGGCCACACTAGATTCAAGGGGAGCAGTGTGCCCCATCACCCATGGAAACTGACCATTTGTGGTTCAATCATATTTTACACATAGGCTTTTCTGGTCAAGCAACATGTGAATGAATAAATGTACATGTGCATCACTGTCTGAACCAACATTGTCAAAAGTGTGTATTTTTCAGAAATAGCTATATTAATCTGTTTCACATTAAAAAGAAAAATTACAGAAAAAATAATGTAGCAGCACCTTTGTGGCTTCTAATTTATTTTATGACAATTTTTGTGCTTCCGAATATGCACTGAATTATATATATATTGGAATTGGAATCTTAAAAATCTCGTGCTAAAATAAAGCAGCTTTAGAGCTGCGCTGTTTCTTTGTTCCTTTTCTGCTCATTTCCTTCAAATGTGTATACATGCAGTCTCCAAGTTACAAACAAGATGGGTTTTGTAGGTTTGTTTTTAAGTTGAATTTGTAAGATGGAACAGATGCATTTTTAAGTGTAACTCCAGCCACACACACACACACACACAGTATTTATTTATTTATTTGCTGTATTTATATCCTGTGGCCTTACAGTCAGCAGCAATTCAATATATGCATGCATTATTTGGATTGTGTAGGGAAGGGTCACACCCCTGTGGTTTTTGTTTTGCTGTCTGTGCCCCTGTTTAGAAAATTTTAGCTTACTTTCTGTCCCTGTGATAATTGGATTTTGAAACATTTGGCTTGTTGTGGAAACAAGGATTGGAGACAAAGCTTCAGTGGAGACACCTTTCCCCCCATGATAACTTTTTCAGGAGTGAATTTCTTGCCCCCATTCTTAACTAGGAGTCATTTCTAAGTTGGATGTTTGTAACTCAAGGGCTGCCTGTATATGGATAATTCAAGTATGGATCTCTATGTATTTATATTTATCTAAGTCCTAGATAGATACACTGGCATATACACACAATTTGATTGTAAGTTTACAATGAAAGACAAGGTTAGAGCTGCTGCAACTTTTCATGAATTTAACAGTGAGTTGCCTTTGACAGCTTGGTATAATTCTAAAGACTTTAAAAATAAGCTATAATAAATGTTTGCAGATCATGCATGTATGGTAAAAAAGACTTGCTTATTCCATGAATATGTTACAAATATATGCAGGGTTCCTAACAAACAATTTCTACCTTCTTTGCGGGGTGGTGGTGGTGGTGATGGTGGTGGTTACTGTTTATACATGAGCATAGCTGCTACTCTTCTGCTTTAGAAGTACAGATTTAGTACTTCTCAGCAAGGATATATTATGCAAATTTTTTTATGAAGCTGTGAAAAATTAACGTGAGCATAACCCATTGGGGATTTCATTGAAACGGGAAATGGCTGTATTAACATAGTGCAATTCCCACTCATTGAGTAATTTCTTCCCAAGACTCTACTGCCTTCTTTGTCCAATCTCTGTTAATGATGTAACAGAAAAGTTGGAAAGAAGACTAATTATACATAGTTCAATGAATTTTTATTTTAAAACTAACAATATGCATTTGTGAAATCAAACAACTAGGTCAGACTAGCCTTGAATAAGTAAACAAAAACATTTCAAACTTTTTAGAGAATGTTTTAAAGTTTCTTCCAAAATTCATCCAGGGATATTTTTCCTCTTTCACTAGTCTCCATTTTTAAATATGCTTTCCATTTTAGTGGCCAGACTTATAGATCTATCTTTGTTTAATATTCTAGTAGTAGATGATAAGGCATTTTTTTGTCTGCTTTGGTTGCTCAATTATGTTCAGCAAGGAATACAATCTGGTAGTAGAAATTCTGTCAGTTGCTCTTCACCATCCTCCCAGTGTGGATGCTGTTTTAAAACAAAAACAACTCCAGTTTAAAGATACAAGAAGCCATGACTTTGTAAAAAAAGAACTCGTTTTTCAAAGGTGATGTTAACAGCTGTCTCTATGCTTAGCTATTTATCATTTTGAAAAGTCCACCTGCAAACATGCAGTAATATGTATATATGTTTACAACTATAACTTACCGTATATTTGAGCAGGATTTTTACTCATTAATCATGAAGTTACGTTTTGCTGTAAAAATCTTTAAAATTTTGTAAAGAGCTAAACTGCCTTGATCTAAGTTTTGTTGTTGTATGCCTTCAAGTGATCCTAAGGCAAACCTATCATTGATTTTTCTGGTTGAATGTGGTGAATTGCCCAAGATCACCCAGTGAATTTTCATGGCCAATTGCAGAATCAGACTTTGATTTCCAGTGTGATACTCATCACTCAAACCACTACACCATTGCTTAACTGTTCCATTTTATCTAGCATCTCAAGGTTTCAAGAGCAATTGCCTTCAATAAAGTTTGCAGAGGACTACTCTCTTAAACAATTGCTTATGCCTCCAGCATGTTTTACAGCAGTTCTTTTTGTAGCTAGTGGGACCTCAGGATGATATGTACTGTTCGAACAACCTCGAGACTGCAGTCCTGTATGTGTATATGCTTGTCTGAGATCACTTGGAAAGATTCATAACAAAGAAGGGTCTAACAGTATACCAGCTTTAGCAGCTTCTGTTTGTTGTCTTCAGATTTTCCTGGTTTTTTTTAAATTGGGACATAATTTTCTATTTTAAGAGTGCACTAATATTGGGAACTATATATCTGTGGAGATCATTGCATATAAAATATTTTATCTGACTTAGTTAAAATTCCTGTCTGTGGGGAGACAGAAAATTATTATTACTTTACAAATATATAAAAAGTTATAGAGACGGCTGTATACAAGTTGCAAGAGGACAGCAGTTGAATGATATCTTGCATAAGTTATGAAAAGAAATTACTTCTCAGGAAAAAAAGCCTAGTACATATTAACTTTTCTTTGACTTTTGAAATGCAGGAACCAACATAAGTTATATGGCTCACGTCTGACATCATGCACCACCGGTGGCTGCTGTTAGTTGCATGCTTTTGGGTAGTATTCATGTTCATGGTTGCTACCAAGTTCATCACATTAACCTTCAAAGATCCTGATGGTAAGTTGATCTAATTTTAGTGTTGTTTTTGTAGAAAAGGCAGCAGAACCCCGTTAGCTCACTTCTACTAGGATTATGTTAGACTTATCCCTGTGTTTGAAATAGGGATGTTTTTTGCGATCTGTACAGGGGAAGGCATGCAATTTTGCTGCACAACAGCACAATGACAAATAAAGCGATTCTATTCTTTGAAAGTCCACAAAGTGTTGTTCTGTGCTCAAAATAAAAGGGAATGCTGTGAAACCAAACATAAATTAGTAGAGTGATTGGAAGTGGCACCAATATTTTCCCCAACTTGTGTTTTTAATAAATGAATACCAAGTTCACACATTGTGCTGGTGTAAGTTGTAAGTTCTCTGAAAAAAGGCATTCCTTTGCTATCCAATTCCTATCATTTTAATTATTCTGAGGATAATTTAAACAATCTTTATCAGTTATCTGGAATAATATATCAAATGCCACATGGATTACATTATATTCAAGGTACCAATTTCAGGATTTTTTTTCTATTTCAAGTGCAGTTTATTGATATAAGTATTTGAATATGGGATATAGCCAGATTTTGGGTTGTGCATATGTGGAAGCAACTTACTTGTTCTTTTTTTCACATCCTGTGCTTCTAGCCCTCAACAACAACAACAAAAATTAATAGAGCTACACAGAGGAGTAAAGAATAATGTATAAAGGAATAAGCAATTCTGTGAATCAATTTAGAGATCCCTGAACTTCTGACAGAATTTTTTTACTCATTTAGCAGTCTCTCTTCTTTTAACCAATCCCCTTTCCTTCCTTTCTTTGATATTTGTACAGTGGATCATTTATCTTTTGTCAGCACCGGATTACTATTACAATAAGGAAACACTGTGGCAATTGTTATACAGAAATAAGGAACTGCAGATAACTTTGACAACCATGTTTAACTATAGGTGTGATTTTAGTACATGTTGCTAGAAATTGGGGATACTGTTTAATTAAAAAATGTTGCCTTTTTCTTAATTATTTCATTTTCTTCTTGCCTAGTGTATGGTTCCAAGCAAGAGCCATTAATACTGACAGCTATAACTGAAATAGACAAAGTCCGAGTGACGAAAGAGAAGAGGTTGTCTGGAGGAGAACTTCAGGTATATGTTTGCTGATGCAGAAACACATACCTGTGAATGCAGAATTCACAGATTTTGCATTCATGGATTCAACCATCCATGGCTTAAATATATATTAACAAAACCCCAAAGTAAACTTTTGTTTTGCCTTTTTATATAAGGGACACCACTGTAGCACACCATTGTATATAATGAGACTTGAGCATCCACAGATTTTGGTATCTGGAACTAGGCCTCAGCAGATACTAAAGGGGCATTGTACCAGGAAAGAGTATTTATTTATTTATTTATTTATTTACAGTTCTTATATTCCGCCCTTCTCACCCCGCAGGGGACTCAGGGCGGATTACAGTCAACACATATATGGCAAACATTCAATGCCAGTTTGACAAACAACGTTTAACACACAAATACACCGAGGCTATTTAACTTTTTTCTGGCCGCCAGGGGAGCTGCTGCTTTTCATCGTCCATCAACGACACCGATGAAGTTCTTCCGCATTCCACATTCCCCGGAGTCTTTTTTCTTTATGGCCTCATAAATTAGTTAAATTTAGCCTCCCACACAAAGTGGTACCTTATTTTCCTACTTGACAGATGCAACTGTCTTTCGGGTTGCAAAGGTCGACAATGGGCTACACAAATGGCTGGACGCCCACTCCAGCCCGGGCTGGCTTCGAACTCATGACCTTTTGGTCAGAGTGATCTTAATGCAGCTGACACTCAGCCAGCTGTGCCACAATCCCGGTGCAGGGGCTTCTTGGACCAAAGCAAGAAGCCTGCTATCCCTGGAATACTCTCCTTGAAAAACTTACCTTTTTGGAGGGAGATGACAACCATAGAGGGTCCAGGGCCCTTTTTCAGTCTTATCTAATCCATACCAGCTGCACTATCCCCGTCTGATGAAAATAGAAATCATTTTGATTTTTCAGACAACATGGTGGTTTTTGTCCTAAATAGGGAGGCAGAGGACTTGTTTAATAATAGTAATACTTCCCTGAAGGTAGTTCTTCATTTTATCATTTGTTACCATGTTGTGCTGGAATAGCAGAAATGATGTGATATGACAGTATTTGAGATGGCAATTTGTACTTCAAGAAAAGTTACTGTTAAGGCTTGACTGGCCTGTGTATTCCTTAGCTAAAGTTGGATCAGAAACGTGGAGGCTGAAAAGACTTGAATGCATTCACTGCATTGCCACATCATACCAATAGTTACACCTCCTCTGACTTTATTTGTCTGGAACTAGCCAGCCGGGTTCCTCCAGAACTTTACAATCAAGGCAGGTAGATAGTGGACTTCCCTGGTTCCCAGCAGCTGATATTCAGAAACCATCAGCTCCCTTTAGCTACTGTAACTGATACCCATTTATTTGGTCTCAAAGTTGCCATAAAGGTTGGTGGATGGGACCCTGTCTTGTAGTGTTGGATCCCACATGTAAAATAATACACATATGAAGAGGCAGTTTGTGTTTGTTGTTCTGAGCATGGTATCTGTTAATTTTATTGGGTGGTGACTACATGTAGGTAAGTCTTCTGTTCTGCACTGGGCATATTTTTTACAAGTAGCATGTACAAAGGCACCAGTACTGTGTGCATGCGGACAGTTATCTGTCTACTTATAACAACCCTTTGGTTTTCCTAGGCAAGTAATACTCAGAGGTGGTTTTGCCAGGTCCTTCTTATGAAATATAGCCTACAGCATCTGATATTTGTTGTTGGTCTCCCATCCAACTTCTAACCAGAGGTGACCTTGTTTAGCTTTCAAGATCAGATGGGATCTGGTGCCTTTAGGGTATTTAGGCCGTCGATACTTTCCCTTTTTGGTCTTCTCCCCCCCCCCTTTTTTTTTTTGGTAAAGAAAAAGACTAAGTGCTTCAACTTCTTCAAATCCTTTTTATTTTTAAAATGAGATTTTAGCGATAGCCTCATCATGGTGCTAAATTAGTCTCTCTCATATGTGCACACGTGAACACACACACACACTGGCAAACACACACATCTCAGTCATTATGGTGTTATGTGGGGGAGGGGGGGCTTAGGAATTAATACATACAGATAAAGCTATAAAACCAGGAATGGTGAATTACTAACCCACTAGATTGAAAGGGCAGTTATGCAACAGAAAATGTATCAAGAAGCAGTAGTCTAATATAAGCTTGTAAGACCATTAATTTAAATGCAGAACTTGGAAGCATGACTAAAAATGTAATGCATTACATTTTTTTTTCATTTTTATGAATAGCATGTTTACTATTCACGTAACATGCATAAAACATTAATAACATATTATTTTTACTATTATGTCACTGCCATTCATATTGTCAAATGTCCTGTAAATCTCCCTCATAGGCAACATTACCCTTCTATTGGCAAATGGCAACAGCAATACCTAACCTTATTTTATTTCTGTACAACCAAAATATAAGTTATATATGGTGCAGGATGCATACAACTTTTTTACAAAAGTAATATAATTTCTCAGAAATATTTGTAGGTTTCTTAACAAGGTAAAGGGGTCTTCTGTTAGAAGCAAGGCTGGTGGTGGATCTGTACTTTTGTTCTGATTGTAAACAAAGGCGAATTAAATCACTGTAGTGGATTCTGTGGTGGGGAGCATTATTTCGTATAGAGGTGGCCATTTAGCCCTTAAATCCAAAGAGATTGCCAGTTGGTGTATCCCTACTTTAAAAAGAAGAAAAAAAACCTGGACAGGAGTATCTCCTCAGTTCCTTACTCCAGCTCCAAATAAAGTCAAGGGAAATGTGAGTTCCTTCTAATGTCCCTAACTGGATAATTTGATCATTCTTTTTAAAGCCTAATAAAGTAATGAAGCGGGCCTTCCGTTTTTAAAATAATAATAATAATGAATTAAGAAACAGGAATTAGTTTTCAGGCATTGTTTTCATTAGTTTTTAAAAATGCACATATTTTGAAGTAAGAATGCTAAGGATACTTAGGATGGCAGCTTGAATGAGAGGATTAACATACATAGGCAAATTTCCACTCCACAAATAACATTTTGTTTTCATTGATGTAGCTTTCTGTAAGTGTACACAATCAGGAAATGCAAATAGCATAAAGTAGTTTAGCACTACTGAATTAGGTCATTTCTTTATTTAGAAGCCAAAGTCCTTGCCATGTCAGGCAGTTTAAACCACTACACTATATCCCACCCACCTCCACTCCCTGGCTGCATAATCATATTCCAAAGAAGCCATACACTATGTTGTTTGCCATGCAGTTTGCTTGATTAATTTAAACCCAAACAGCTTAATCTTGCAGGGATTAATCATTAGGACTGCTAGACCATATACTCTTCAGTTTTGGTATTCGTTTCCAGAGATGTGGAATACAATGTTTTTTCTGTAGAAACACACACACACACACATTTATCCATATATGTCTAGGCTGTTGTACCACAATGAAATAATATTAGATGGTTTAAAAATAGGAGATGTGTCCAGTTTTTCCTCAGAAGAGATGAACATTGCTGGAATGTAATACTTAGGGAAACTGACTAACAAATAAATGTGCTGTTTGTATTTAGCAAAGTTTCTTTTGGTTCTCAATCACCCATAAGAACAAGTGGTCAACATTTGATAATTTGATTGTGCCCACAGACACCCTCTCCATTCATCTCCATTCAGTGTTTACAACTGTTTACTTTTTGTTTACTTTTAAGACTACACAATTTTGCATTGTTTTGAGAGTTACCTAAGCAAATAGCTATTTGAGAAGGTCTACCATAATGAAATGCTGTACCAGGGGGGGGGGGGGGAACAATATTTAGACCACTGGAAAAATTTTGGATAACCCCAAAATTGTCATTCTGAAATTTTTTAAATACAACAAATTATACTGTACAAATAGCGTACACATATTAAAAGGAGATGATAACAAGAAGCTGAGATAACAATTGCATTAAAAGATGTGTTCTGGCTCTTCGTGTGTCATAATTTGAATATACAGATTTTTCTCAGTGCTGTAATCAATATGTGTGTATGTTGTATACATTTTTTCCATTGACAGATTTTTTTTTAACTTTCAAGAAGCAGATGAGGTAGTGTGGCACATGCTTTGTGGATTACAATATTTCAGGTTACAGTAGAGTCTTGCTTATCCAACATAAACGGGTTGGCAGAACACTGGGTAAGCGAAAATGTTGGATAGTAAGGAGGGATTAAGGAAAAGCCTATTAAACATCAAATTACATTATGATTTTACAAATTAAGGCTCTACTGTATTTCATAACTTGATGGCAGCATTCTCAATTCTGAATGTATATGGGTCTAAATATGGACTTACAAGTGAGCTGAAGTTGTCTGTTTGTAATTCCTGTAATGAGGAGGGGATGGCTTCAGTAGTACAAGCTGGATGATGTTACATACAGCACCATTGAGGCCCCTGAGTGACACCAATCCAGGCCACTTACATAAGAATTGCCATGAAGGGTAATCTGGTTCCTAGCTTACTGCAAACATCCACAAGAAGCAGGAAGGAAAGGCAGACCTGAATAACTTTCAGTGCTGTGAAATCTGTTGGTGAGTGTTCGTTGACTGTTGTGACTTCAGAAGATTTTCACAGATTCACAACGTATGCCGCATTGTCGATTCTCTTTTTCATAATAAAGGCTAACAGCAAGTCCTTTGTGTCTGCTGAGGGTTCCAAGACACACGCACACCCTCATGGGCCCCTTCTACACTGCCATATAAAATCCAGATTACGTTGAACTGGATTATGTGGCACTGTACACTCATATAATCCAGTTCAAAGCAGATAATTTGCATTATCTGCTTTGATAATTTGGATTATATGGCAGTGTAGAAAGGACCATGGATACTAAAACCCATGGATGTTCAAATCTTATATAAAATTGTATAATAAAATAGTAACCTTATATATAACGGTAAACTACTGAAATGAGTGGTGGAAAGAACCTGATCATCTGTGGAATGATGGGGGATTACATCAGAGTATGCTTACTCTGATGTAATCAGAGTAACTATTTCAGAAGTTCTATTACAATTAAATATTGTACCAGGAAAAATACAACACGTTACACTGGTATGCTATTTGTTATTTTAATAAATAATAGACACATTGAAGTGAATGGAACTTGTGACTAAAATGTCCCCTCTATTTCTTCAATATTGGATTTAGCTTTTGAACTTACTTAAATAATGTATCCTCTTGTTCGGTTGGTGGGAACGAGAGAGGGGGCCTTCTCTGTGATCACTCCCCATCTCTGGAACTCCCTCCCTAAGGAAATAAAAACAGCCCCATCCTCCTCTCCTTTAAGAAGCTTCTAAAAACGCCCTTACGCACTTTAGCGTATGGAGAGGAGGAGGACGAGGGTATTTTAAACCACTGTAATGCTGGCTAACCCATCTGTATTATATGGCTGCTATAATACGTCTTAAACGTAGTGCCTGTGTCAGACATTTTTAATGTAATGTTTCTTAATTTGCTTTTAGGGTGTATATGTCTTAGTGGATTGTTCTCATTTTATTGAATCCTTCTGGGGAGAGAGGGCGGTTTAGAAGCAAAGATTTTATTATTATATGCTGCCTCTTTTAAACCGTGGAATAACAAGTACAAATCTTCCTTTTGCACCCTTCTTTTCCCCTTTCCTCATTTCTTTAAATTTTATATTAAGACAATTGGAAAGTCCCTGCCTGAAGACCTTGTGCATCAACCTCTGGTCCATATGGAAAGGCTTGAGCTTCTCAGGAATGTGTGCCAAGATGCCTCACTGAAAAACCTCACTCACACTACTGTTTCAAAATTTGTTTTGGATCGAATATTTGTATGTGACAAGCACAAGATCCTTTTTTGTCAAACTCCAAAAGTTGGCAATACTCAGTGGAAGAAAGTGTTGATCGTTTTAAATGGTACTAGTTCACTTTTAAAGTCTTAAGCATGTGTTTGCTTAGATAGGGAAAGCTTTTTACAAAATTGAAGCAACTGTTTCCAGGCACTATTTTTTAATTTAGCCATTCATTTTTATACTTTTATAATCTGTGTTTTCAACACTTTTGTGAAAAATCCTAGTCTTTCACGTCTCATGGTAATAGCAGGCTGTACCAGTAAAGGGGGGGGGGGGGACACATGGAAGGTTTTATGTCATTATTAGAAATTATTTTCAGTTGTGATATATAGCTCACTCATTCTTCCAAGATAGTTTTGCAATATCACATTGTGAAATGTGGATATGAAATATTTAGGCTGACAGGCTAGGGGTCAGTGGTGTCAGGCTGGCCCTTTGCCTTTATTTGGTCAACAGTCACATGTTGCCTTCATTTGGTCAACAGGCCTCAAAATTTGTCAGATCAGAAAGGTTTCAGATCTAGATTCCAAGTACAGAAGCTGCTACAACTTCCTATAATGCAGACATTGTGAATAAATTGTAGAAAAGACTTGGAATTTGGGGATGTTACTGTTTGGACTACTACAGGTGCCACTTGCAGTTTTAGAAAGATTTTGTGTAGAACTTAATATTGTTCAAGAAAGGGATTCTTTTGAAATCCTGAAAAAAATCCCATTCTTTTTGAAGAATCAAATTGCTATGGCAGAGAGGAACAGTTCTATGACAGCTATAGTGAGAAATCTGAAAGGTTCGTTTCTGAAAATCTGTCTTTCTTCCTCAGGAGCTTTTTCTTCCATAGACGAGATCCCAGAGAATGTTGTGCATGACCATGAGAAGAATGGTCTTCCACGCTTATCTTCCTTTAGTGACTCTGAAATTCAAAAAAGGTAAGACTTAAAAAGGTGGAATCCAGTTGTCTTTAAAATACATTCAGAAATAAGTAGAATAGTAATAGTAGTGTTGTTGTTGTTGTTGTTGTTGTTGTTGTTGTTGTTGTTGTTGTTATTATTATTATTATTATTATTTATATCCCACTTTTTCTCTTCAAAAAAGAGACTGAAAGTGGCTCCCGGTAAAATCATTTTACGCCCTTCAACTTTGTTATTGCAAATGCAAGGGAATATGTCAGGTTCGGTTCATGTAAAAGCTAAAGGTTTCCCCTGACATCAAGTATAGTCATGTCTGACTATGGGAGGTGGTGCTTATCTCCATTTCTAAGCCAAAGAGCTGGTGTTGTCCGTAGACACCTCCAAGATAATGTGGCCAACATAACTGCATGGAGCACCATTACCTTCCAGCAGAAGCAGTACCTATTGATCTACTCACATTTGCATGTTTTCGAACTGCTAGGTTGGCAGAAGCTGGAGCTAACAGCAGGAACTCATCCCGCTCCCTGGATTCAACCTGCCAACCTTTTGGTCAGCTAGTCAGCCGTTTAACCCATTGCATCACCAGGGGGGTCCTTGGTCTATCCATATTTATTTCCTTGAGTTCCCACTGGTTGGTAACTAGGAGTTAAAAGTATTACACACTCCATAGAAATACTTATGGTGGCATGGAAAACTGATAGAGAAGCACATAACCATTTCTAGTGCCATACATCATGCACACATTCAAATCGTTCCTATGATTCTGCAGCCATCAAGTTAGGAGCATATTTATGTAAAACAATCCATACTTATAAGCAGTGTAAATTCCTAGTAGATAGGAAATTATTTAAAATTGTCACTTGTAACTTCATTTCCATTTTTCTTTTCCATCCAGACTGAAATTATACTTCAAGTTCTTTATTGTGAGAGACCCATTTGAGAGGCTCATTTCTGCCTTTAAAGATAAGTTTGTCCACAACCCTCGATTTGAACCATGGTATCGTCACGAAATTGCTCCTGGCATTATTCGGAAATACAGAAAGGACCGCACTGAAACGAAGGGGTTGCAGTTTGAGGACTTTGTGCGCTACTTGGGTGATCCAAATCATCGGTGGCTAGATTTACAATTTGGAGACCACATAATTCATTGGGTAACCTATGTAGAACTTTGTGCCCCTTGTGAAATAATGTACAGTGTGATTGGACATCATGAAACACTGGAAGAGGATGCACCGTACATTTTGAAGGAAGCAGGAATAGACCACCTGGTATCTTATCCCACAATTCCTCCTGGCATAACAGTCTACAATAAGACCAAGGTAGAGCGCTATTTCTCAGGAATAAGCAAGAGAGACGTACGACGCCTTTATGCTCGATTTGAAGGGGACTTTAATCTTTTTGGCTATCAAGAACCAGATTTCTTACTAAACTGACACCTAGAAGCTGTGGATAAATGGATCTGGTAGATTAAACTGAAATGTAAAAATAGTCTTCTGCATAATAAAAGCTCCTGGTACTGTACTTTTTTTTCAGGATTTGAAGAAATGTCTCTTGTATCTCTTGGATATCTGCCATAGGATGAACTAGGGACTGAAAATTGTTAGCTACTGAAAATAGTTTCAATACTTGGCATTGCAATTCTTTGCAAGTAAAGCGTATTAAGACAGTGTCAAACATTCCTCTTTCCCTTATCCTTACCAATGGACCAATAATCTATAAACGGACTTAATTGTGAATACATTATAAAGAACATTTAGAAAGAGAAAGCTTTACATTAGCTTTCTCTAATGTAAATTGTGTATGGATCAGAGTATGATATTTCAATAGAGAGCTTTGCCTTAGCTTTCTCTAATGTAAATTATGTATGAACCGGAGTATGATATTTAGAAGTCAACATGGGACCAAAAATTGGCGAGTTTTTTATAGATCAGCAGAACATTTCTAGATTCTAATGTAGACTGAATTTAGACATCCTTCTGTTGGTTCTTTTGTTACAGCCTTGTGACAGATGTTTACTGCTGTTCATTTAGGCCATACAATTGAATATTTCTAACTGATAACCTCTGAATTCCTATGTGATCAGAAGTCTTCTGCAAGTAAAGCTATAGATCCTAGCAAAAACTGAGGAGTAATTACAAATATGGTGAGCACTTCTGTTAACTGAAGTGACTAGACACACCAATAGGGTGCTGTGCATTTCACCATGGATTGCTCAACCTCTCCAATGTGCCATTGGTTGCTTTATTTTTCTAACAGTGATGGCTAATATAATGATCAGACAAGCCATGAAATTATATGAAGGAGAGTTTCCCTAATGTGTAAGAAGTGGAGAGACTGCAAGAAGCAGATGCCTATGGATATACGCTTATATATCCTGTGCTCCATTATATGCATGGTGGAGGGCATAAGTGACCCTATGCCTCATTGCATGCACAATACTCGGTATATGAATGTGTGCATTGACTATTTCAGTGAGCAAAATTTCCCATCACTCTGGGAAGGAGATGCCCAAATGCCTCTTTTCACGAAATGTATATTTCAGTTTTTCTTCCATCCTTCCCACAACATGCTTGTTGACTGTGTAAAAACACCAATGAATGAATGGCACGAGTGTTATGTTTGTGTGTATACATTTTTGAGGTTTTAATAGCAAAATATAAATTCCCAGAACAACAATAATCTTTTGCTTCTGTTGTCTTCGTCGGATAACGGACATCTTTTAATTTTGTTCACCAGCAATAAAAACCTCCTGTCGATCAGCTTTGCTCCAGTATGCTGCCAGGAGGAAGGAGTTATTGGCATTTTAACTGTCAATGGGTCAGAAGTTGGGTTTGAAAAATACTTTTGACAAAAATATTGTGGGATCTTAACTATAGTTCTGTCTTCACCTTCTTGGTAAGGTGATAAAAATTAGAAGAGTTGCATTTCTTGAATCTGGGCACAGGTATAATTCTCAAGGATGTATTTTATATTTGTAAACTTGAAAAAAGAAAACCAGTGCCAAAAACCTGCTGCTTCCTACAGAAAAGAAAGCTTGTATGAGCCAGATGAAGAGCCATTCTACACATTACACAGAGGAGGTAGAACTCAGCATGGATTGCCATTTTACCATATGGTGTGATCTGCCAAAATGTAGCACGTTGCAAAGAGAACTTCTGTTTCAGCTCTTCCTGGTGATAGATAAGAAGGCTTTTAAGTGGGAGAACGTTAACAATAACCTCCTACCAATTTGTGCTCTGAAATTATACAGTTCCTGTTTCTACCTCTGTATCAAGTGTAACATGTAGTATGGCTTTAATTTATGTAAGGCAGAAGGATGTCTCACATGACAGTTTCCTTGACATGTAGGAAAACCACATATAAATTGTCTTGTGTATAGGATACATGTCTATATTGTCACATACCACTGCACTTTCAGTTTTCCTACACAAAAGTAATACCTGTGTTAAGGAATTCATTACATGTGACGTTACTCTTTGTTACTGTGGTTAACTTAAAAAGACGCCCAAGGTGGCAAGCTTGAAATGCGCTTGTCATTCTTTTGGAAGGAAGGATGCATTTACAATATCTGCGGTACATTAGGTCTTAATGACATTTCATGTAACAGCTCAGTTATTTTTATATGACGTGTTAGAAAAGTATATTGTTTAATGCATTTCAGGACTAATGAGCTGATTGTTACCTCTTGGCTGAAGTAAAATGTAACAATATGAAAATGTATGGCAAGTTAAGGCCTTAAAAGCTAATTCTAATAGTAATAAAATGAAGTATATTGCCCCTTGCTTCTCTCTGATTTGATGCCTGCAATATTATTGAGGTGTGTATGCATGTGTGTCCTTATATAAAGTCCATGTTAATACCATGGTAAATGATCTCTCCCCACCCCCCAAAATGTTTTTGATAAGCTTTTGAGTAGTAATGTACTGAACTCTATTATACGTACTTTAGTGTGCTGCAGTAATGTTTAAAAATTAGCACTCTTGTGACATGAAATGCCATGGAGTTTAGGAAACTATATTTTTTTGCAAGTCACTTCTGGTGTGAGAGAATTAACCATCTGCAGAGACATTGCCCAGGGAATGCGAATGTGTTATCATCCTGTGGGAGGCTTCGCTCATGTCCCTACATGGGAAGCTGGAGCTGCCAGACAGGAGCTCATCCTGTCTCAGAGATTCAAACCCTGACCTTCAGGTTAGCAGTTCAGCTGGCACAAGGGTATAACCCATTATGCCACCGCGGCTCCTAGGAAATGCCATGACTAGGAAAAATGAATATTCTTTGTTTTAAGGAATATTTTGTTGTTTTATTTAGGGAATCATTCAGATATTTTCACTGTTTGGAGTTGCTGTGCATCTGCCCAGTTTTAGCATAGCTTTGTCATTAATATAGTATTCTGGCATTCTTTTTTTTTTGCATTTGGATCACATTTTTCTTCCAAACATAAGGGAATTTCACATTGAAGAGAATCAATGTGACATACAAAAGGGAGAGGAGGGAAATCACATTCAAAATATTAATTCTGTCATTGTATTTGTATAATGAAGTTACATAATCGAATCTGCAAGGCATAATTTTAGGAATGGAAGACATACTAAATAGTATGGATTCTCTACCAGACCAGTGGGGAGAGAGGCCCAATGTTTTACAAGTTACCAGCAGTCAAATGAAAAATGGATTTAAGCACAATTTCATTGTGTAGTGGAATCATTAATCACAAAGCTACAAGAGGTTGGAGGGTTAAAATTACATTGTGGGTGGCTATCTAAATACCTTACAGGCTTTATTTTTGCACTTTAATAACTTACACAGCTTTAAAAATTTTCATAGTAGTGTTGACTGAATATTGCCTAGGTCAACAATTGCTGGATTCCAGATGGAATATATGGCATTCTGCCTTTAATGCATATTTTATAACTTGTTCTCTAAATATAACTCACAATTTGAGATTAATAATTAAAAACTACTAGTTGGCATGAGAGCAACAGCATTGTGTGTGTGTGTAAAGGGGAATAGCATACCAAGTTTATGTTCCAGCGAAGTGGCTGGAGATGTCAGTTGGAGCTTGAATGGAAAACAAGAAATGGCATTGCTTTGAATTGTTTCTTCATGAGGATGCCAATAGCAGCCTAGATGAAAAGCAGAAGCTGCTTTTCTTTGGTTTCAGATTTCAGAGGTCCAATTGGCCATTGAATTATTTCCTATGGAGATTGTGCTGTAGTGAGCGTAGCAGAGTAGCAATCTTTTCACATATCCACTAATTTCAAAGAAGCAGCTAAGTACCATTACGGCTAAGTGGGACAGATGTTGGAGTGGGGGTGGAGAGGTCAGTTTGTGTACATTGAAAGTAATGGCAGGGATTTTTTTTCTTACTAGTGTCATCATGGAATCGGAATTGGAAGAGACCACATGGATCATCTAGTTCAAACCCCTGCAATGCAGGAAAAGCACAATCAAAGTACCCCTGACAGATGGCCATCCAACTTTATCCTTTTTGCCCTTTGCAATTGCAGTGTGATAATTCTACTTCATGCTGTAGTACCATGGGATTTTTAGTGTGAGGGGTTTCCCCCCTGAATTTTCTGTGAGAAAGCTCTAGTACCTTGCCCAACAACAAATCCCAGTACTCCATAGGTTCCAGATTTGGATTTAGTACCCCAGGCAACACAAATCAAAAAGTATTATGAGGGAGCCTGAAAGCTATGAGATCCTAAGTAAAACAATGAACTGAAAAAGATAAATCTGCTCTTGTTTGTTTGTTTGGTGTGTTTTTTTTGGGGGGGGGGGGATAACTCTTCGAGAGGAAAACTGAAATGAAATGAATATGATAATAAAATAATTGGCAAATACCAAATACACACATGCTGTGTGTCCCATCACAGCATTGTATTCTGTTGTCTCACTGCCATTCTTAAGTATGAGTCATTTGTAAATTGGATGTTTGTAACTCAGGAACTGCCTGTACAGGCAGCATTTGTACCTCTTAGGATGATATCTGTACAAAGCTTATAATAACTAGTGCTAGTTTATTTCTCTACAGCTCCACCAAGACCCTAATAATGTTCCATCACTCAGTGAAAAACATTGGGATATCTCTGCATATATGAAAGATGCAGCATTCTGCAGCTGCACTTCATATTTTTATTAAATAAAAGTTATAATTTTGCCAGAACTGACATTCTGAAAATCTTAGCAACCTTTCCAGTTTCAGATTGGTTTGCATGTATTTAACTATCTCCCCGTTGTCTTATCTCTATAGACCAGTGGTTCTCAACCTTCCTAATGCCACAACCCCTCAATATAGTTCCTCATGTTGTGGTGAGCCCCAACCATAAAATTATTTTCCTTGCTACGCTGTAATTTTGCTACTGATATGAATCATAAAGTAAATATCTGATATATAGGATGTATTTTCATTCACTGGACCAAATTTGGCACAAATACCAGATATGCCCAATTTTGAATACTGATGAGGTTGGGGGGGGGGGGGTTGATTTTGTCATTTGGGAGTTGTAGTTGCTGGGATTTCTAATTAACCTACAATCAAAGAGCATTCTGAACTCCACCAACGATGGAATTGAACCAAACTTGGCACACAGAACTCCCATGACCAACAGAAAATACTGGAAGGGTTTGGTGGGTATTGACCTGAGTTTTGGAGTTGTAGTTCACCTACATCTAGAGAGCACCGTGGACTCAAAGAATGATAGATCTGGACCAAATTTGGCATGAATACTCAATATGCCTAAATGTGACCACTGGTGGAGTTTAGGGAAAACAGACCTTGACATTTGGGAGTTGTAGTTGCTGGGATTTATAGTTCACCTACAGTCAAAGAGAATTCTGAACCTCACCAATGATAAAATTGGATCAAACTTCCCACACAGAACCACCATGACCAACAGAAAATACTGTGCATTCTGATGGTCTTTGACGACCCCCCCCCCTCCTACCCGGAGTCCCGATCCCTAGGTTGAGAAACGCTGCCATAGACCATCATTTGGACAGACAAATGTGATGTTTTGAAGACAATTATCCGGTGTGTTACACAACATGTTGCATTTTTAGATTATTGTTGCCAAGTGCAGTCAGTGGTCGTGTATATTATATTACCACTCATAATAGAATCCATTAAAAGTACTTGACAGAAATGACACTCAAATGCTCGAACTTTAGAAATGTTCTCCCTTTAATGTCTTTGACTTGTTTGATGCTCTATTAGGTAGATTTCATCTTTTAAAGATGTGCTGGTCTTACCAGGACCATTTGCAGCCTCACCCTGGCTGTCATCTGCTGAACTGCTGGAGGCATTGACTGCCAGCTGCTACCAGAGCCAGACATGTAGCTCTCAGCCTATCATGGTGAGCAGTTTGTCCTTCCTGGAGAGAATTGCTCTTCAAAGGCAGGCCCTTCAGCAGCTGAACTGCTCGTGGCAACAAGACTCGAGAGTGTTTCCTCTGGTTATTTGTTTATGAAAATTGAAGTTGCACACAACTCAATAATGTTCAATCCTGTGTTTGTTATTGAGTAAAGCAAAGAGAAACAGAAAGTTGCTTAGATCAAAAATCAACACAGTGCCGAAATGTAAGGAAGTTATGAGGATGAACACAAAACTCTTCAACCAGAGCCAGATTATAATTGGTAGGTTTGGTGCAATTGCTGAAGGGCCATTGCTGCCTCGGTAAGAAAGAGGCCTCGTCGTCTTCGCCTTCAAAGTCACTTCTTTAATCTGATGTTTTTGTTATGATCATCATGACTGTTACTTGAATAACTGAGTAAAACACATAGAACAAGACTGTGAATTGCATTCATGCTGCAGAGTTGGAAAATTATTTTTGTTGCTATTCATTGCACTTTTTATTTCATTCATGATTTATAGATTTGGCTGATTCTGTGGAATACAGTAATAGAATAATAGAGTTGAAAGAGACCACATGGACCATGCAATAAAAGCACAAAGCACCCCTGACAGATGGCCACCCAGCCACTGTTTAAAAGTCTCCAAGGAAGGAGATTCCACCACACTCTGAGGCAGAGAGTTCCACTGTTGAACAGATCTTACGGTCAGGAATTTCCTCCTAATGTTCAAGTGGAATTTCCATTCCTGTAATTTGAACCCATTGTTCCCAGTTCTAGTCTCCAGGGCAGCAGAAAACAAATCGGTTCACACATATGCAGAAAGGAAGCATTGTGTTTGGAATTGCTCTGGGGCCTCAAGCTTCTTAATCTGTTCTTCCCTTTAACGGATCAGAATACAATAGAATGGATCCATTACTATATTTGATTATACTTTTAAAGGACCCATTGAAATAATGGCATCAAATAAACCATAAAAAACTGTTTCCCAGTACACTAAATGTATATGTCATGAATATTGTTATTTATCTCCTAAGCAGTACCAATTATTATAGTTGGTACAATTGGCCTTCCTGATTATGTAAAAAAAAAAAAAGATAAAACATTTACTATTTATTTATTTATTTACTTACTTACTGTATTTGTATACAGCCTTTCTCAGCCAATTTTCTCAAGGCAGTTTCCAACAAATCAGTATACATAAAACATAAAACATAATATAGATAAAAAACATTAAACAGTATAAGACATCACAAAAGCAATAAAAGCAACATCATCAGCGTCTAATTATTCTCAAGCACTGTCCAATTCCATTGTCAGGTCATTCAATTTCCTATATTAGCTACTCTGTATTTGTAAAAGCTTGCTTGAATAGCCACGTTTTAACTTGCCTCCGAAATGTCAAGAGGTAGGGAGCAGATCTGATCTCCCTAGGGAGGGCATTCCATAGCTGAGGGGCCACCACTGAGAAGGTCCTGTCTCTCGTCCCCACCAAACGTGCTTGTGACGAAGGCGGGACCGAGAGCAGGGCCTCCCCAGAAGTCCTCAGTGGTTCGTAAGGGGAGATACGTTCAGACAGGTAAGTTGGGCCAGAACTGTTTAGGGCTTTATAGGCCAAAGCCAGCACTTTGAATTGGGCCTGGTAGCAAACTGGCAGCGAGTGGAGCTGGTGCAACAAGGGGATTGTATGCTCCCTGAGCGCCGCTCCTGTTAAAAACCTGGCTGCCGTTCGTTGGACTAGTTGAAGCTTCCAGACCATCTTTAAAGGCAACCCCACGTAGAGAGCGTTGCAGTAGTCTATACGGGATGTAACTAGAGCGTGGACTACCGTGGCCAAGTCAGACTTCCCAAGGTACGGGCGCAGCTGGCGCACAAGTTTTAACTGTGCAAATGCTCCCCTGGTCATCGCCGAGACCTGAGGTTCCAGGTTCAGTGATGAGTCCATGATCACACCCAAACTGCGAACCTGCGTCTTCAGGAGGAGTGTAACCCCATCCAACACAGGCTGTAACCCTATGCCCTGTTCGGCCTTGCAACTGACCAGGAGTACCTCTGTATTGTCTGGATTCAATTTCAATTTGTTTGCCCTCATCCAGACTGTCACAGCGGCCAAGCACTGGTTCAGGACCTGGACAGCCTCTATAGTAGCGAGTGGGAAGGAGTGACAGAGTTGGACATCATTTGCGTACAGATACCACACCCCAAAACTCCGAATGATCTCCCCTAGCGGCTTCATGTATATGTTGAACAACATGGGAGACAGTATTGAGCCCCGAGGAACCCCACAAGACAAAGGATGTGGGGTTGAACAGCACTTTCTGGGTGCGACCCTCCAGAAAGGAAAGGAGCCACTGTAAAACAGTGCCACCAAGGCCCATTCTGGCGAGGCGTCCCATAAGGATACCATGGTCGATGGTATTGAAGTCCACTGAGAAGTCCAGCAGAACCAACAGAAACACACTCCCCCTGTCTAGCTCCCAGCGTAGATCATCAACTAAGGTGACTAAGGCTGTCTTGGTTCCATGTCCCGGTCTAAAGCCAGACTGTGCCGAATCCAGATAATCCGTGTCTTCCAAGTATACCTGGCAGACCTCACCTCTGAGGATGCTTGCCATAGATGCAGGCGAAACGTCAGGAGAAATGCCTCTAGAACATGGCCATATAGCCCGAAAAAACCCACAAGAACTGAGATACCTGGAGTTGTGAGGCCACCACATTTTCCAGGACTTTGTCCAAAAAGGGGAAATTGGAAACACTCCGATAGTTGAGGAATGGAGTGGGGTCCAGTGATAATTTTTTCAACAGTGGTTTTATTACAGCTTGTTTTAAGCTCACTGGAATGTTGCCTTCCCAAAGAGAGGCATTAACCACCACCTTCACCCACTATATTTTTGGATTGTCATTCCCAGAACATTTTAGTAACCACCTACTAATCAGCATGGTATAGTAGTCTGAATCCAAATAAAAACCCTAGAGACCATGGAAACTTTGGGCAAATACACTCTCAGTCTTAGAGGAAGGCAATAGCAACCCCCCCATGAACAAATCTTCCCAGGAAAACCTCATGATATGTCCATCTTAGAGTTGTCATGAGCTGGAAATGACTAGAAGGCACAAAATAAAATAACCTCAAACAGCCTCCATTTTTATTTGGTTTTATGGTATTATATAAAGAAGTCGAGTCACAAAGGCATTTCAGTGAATCAAGAAAGCTGCACAAAGTCTGTCTTGCCAGTAGCACACCACCATCTTGGACATATCGTCAGCCAAATCTATGCGGGTGGCTCACTGAAATTAGCTTCCGTGTCTGACAGATTTCTTGGACAAGTGAAATTGCTGCTTACGTTCCACCCTGTGAGTCAACTCCAAATTACAGCCTTCTAGCTTGGAGAGCAGTGCGTGTGAGAGGGAGATCACGTTTTTGGTTTTGTAAGGAAGTGAAAAGCAATTCTCAGTGTTAGGCTCCTGCTAAACAAGGATGTTATTTCTGCATGACTTTTTCATATGAGTCATGCTTCAAAAAAAGAGAGAAGCAATTAGGCTACAAAAGCCAGAGTTGTTCACAGAGATGAAATGATTCAACTGAAATAAGTTGAGCTGGTCTCTTTCAGAGGAGGCAAATGTTTCAGGATACAGGACTTATTATTGTAATAGTTCTCCATTTAATTGCCAAATGATGTTTCTGTTTTCTGACAGTTTCTTGACTCAGCTGCAACATTTTATTCTCTCCCTCAAGTGTTTTGCAGGTGAGTTGTAAGTTTCTGTTCCTGCAATCTTGGTGCTTGTCTGCTTTACATAAATCTGGGGAACTTGGTTTTTAGTGACATTTCTGCAGTGTGGGACCTTGGAGAATCAATCACTTTAGGTCTTCAGTTTTCATCTGTAAAACAAGAATAATAATGTCTTGCTGGTTTGAAAATGAGCAAGATCATAGCACAAAAACAGATTATAAATACAATCATATAGGTACAATGTAACATGCCTGCTTGGACATCTAAGCCTAAATCTAGGTACACACTGAATTAGTCAAAATAATGTAAGTTCACATTGCTTCAAGGGTTCTTCTATAGTCAGGAGTAATAACTGGATTTAGGCTCTAATCATGTAAATTACATATATTGCAGATGGCAGTGAGTCTACAATGCAGAGATAGAACACATGTGTCCCTCCAGATGTTTTTCGACTTTAGCAGCAGAATGTTTATGGTTATGATGGACACTCCAATTCAAGCATATTGAAGGACTATATGAGTCATACCTTGTTATATAGTAAGTAGCTTAGCAGCATGTTCCACATTCACATTCTGGAATTGAATATATTTACTTCCTGTTTTGAAAAGGTCAGTCTTGGCTGGTTTTGTTACTGTCCCCTCCTGAACTGCTTACCTGTGCTACATACCTGTTCAGTCTTGTCAAATATGATGTTTGTTTTTAAGAGTGCAATACTACAGCCTGGCTAACCTGTACCTAAATGCATAATAATTGTTATTTGTAGCTTCAGAAGAAGGATTGGTTCAGAGAACATTACTGTGCTGTAATTTACGGAGACTGTTTTTAGGACAAGCTCAGCAAGTCATTGTTTATCTTTGTTTTGCAGGGGGGTGGTGTGTGTGTGTGGCCAGAAACATAACTTTAACTAGAGGGCAATATGTGCAGATTTCTTTTTCTTGGAAGAGCTGCAAGTCCTCATTCTGGTAACAGCAGTTTTTCATCTTGTTTTCAGCCCCTGCAATGAACAAAACACAAAGCTAAGCCTTTGCTCATAATGAAATTTTCTCATTCCAAGAAAACATGACTCTTGAATCCTAGCAATTTCCTTTCCCAGTCATTTGACGGGGTTAGAGTGGATGGACTGAGTCTGCCTCAAGTCCTCCTCTCCTTCTACAGTAACTTGTTTCAAGAGGACAGCAGCTGTATTAGGCTCTAGTGCAGATCTGCATAATCTGTGACCCTCCATGTGTTTTGGACTTCAGCTCCCAGAATTCCTGGCTGTAGAACAAGCTGGCTAGGGCTTCTGGGAGTTGGAGGCGAAGATATCTGGAGGTATGCAGGTTGTGCAGGCCTGCTCTAGTGTAAAGGTCAGTTTGTTTAAATTCCTGTGAGTTAAATAAATATTTATTTTAACACACCATTTCAACACACATACCCTGACCAGTATAGCCAAAAACAAGGAATGCCGGGAATCGCTGTACAACAACATCTGGAAAATCAGTTTGGTCGCCCATTACTGTGAACTAACAATGAACAAAAAATGTCTGGAATCACAGCGAAGGAAGTGGGAAGATTTCCTTCCTTGACATCCTGGGATGCTGTAATTTAACAATTATTTTATAGGGTTATTATGTTCTAGGATCATTTCCGCTACCTTGGCAGCCACCTCTCCACCAAAGTCAACATCGACACCGAAATACAACACCGCCTGAGCTCTGCAAGCGCAGCATTTTTCCGAATGAAGCAGAGTGTTTGAGGACCGGGACATCCGTAGGGATACCAAGGTGCTTGTTTATAAAGCTATTGTCCTCCCAACCCTGCTCTATGCCTGTGAGACGTGGACTGTCTACAGACGTCACATGCAACTCCTGGAACGATTCCATCAGCGCTGCCTCCGGAAAATCCTGCAAATCTCTTGGGAAGACAAGCGGACAAACGTCAGCGTGCTGGAAGAAGCAAAGACCACCAGCATTGAAGCGATGGTCCTCCGCCATCAACTCCGCTGGACCGGCCATGTTGTCCGGATGCCCGACCACCATCTCCCAAAGCAGTTGCTCTACTCCGAACTCAAGAACGGAAAACGGAATGTTGGTGGACAGGAAAAGAGATTTAAAGATGGGCTCAAAGCCAACCTTAAAAACTCTGGCATAGACATTGAGAACTGGGAAGCCCTGGCCCTTGACCGCTCCAGCTGGAGGTCAGCTGTGACCAGCAGTGCTGCAGAATTTGAGGAGGCACGAGTGGAGGGTGAAAAAGAGAAACATGCCAAGAGGAAGGCGCGTCAAGCCAACCCCGGCCGAGACCGCCTTCCACCTGGAAACCAATGCCCTCACTGCGGAAGAAGATGCAGAGCAAGAATAGGGCTCCACAGCCACATACGGACCCACAAGAATATTGGAAGACAATCATCCTCGGAAAGCGAGGGATCGCCTAAGTAAGTAAGTAAGTAAGTAAGTAAGTTCTAGGATTCCTTATAGTTGAGTTGAAAAAATTGAGAGTATTATGGGGGCAGAAGCATTTAAAAAAATCTCAAAAGTCTATTTGACCCTTGGGACACCTAGGAGAGCTCAAAACATGGCAGAACTGGCTTCAATGTCTCTTTTGATTAAAAATGCCATTTGGGGGCATTTTGAATCAAAAACAGTCCTAATGAGCATGTGTTCCCCATCTCTGCTTTCTAGTGATATCTAGTGATTGCCATCTCTGCTTGTCACCACAACCAGATAAGCAAACTCAGTAAAGAGTGTATTGCTTTTTTTTTCAGATGGACTTTTGCTTGTTGCTGGGGAAATGGCACTATGTATTTTTTTCATTTTGAATTGCTTTGAAATCCTTTTTAATTTAACAATGTGGCTTTTTAAATTGTGCATTAGCATATTGTAACTTGTGCCTTCTTACAAGCAGACTTGCACCGCACATTTGGGAGAAAGGCACATATAAATCAACTTAATATATAACAAATACATGAGGTGAGCTCTATGAATCACCAAGATTTGTATGTTGGAACCAGGAAATTGAAAATGTCACCATCACTAAGGCAAACCTCCTTAATGCTAATACTGCACAGAGGTAGATATTAAAAAATAAGTACACAAAGAAGTGCTATGTGTGGGAGTTCAGTGCATTACCCACTGACTAATATTCACAGTGTTTCTTTCCTTCATAAACAACCCTATTATACACAAACAACAGGTGAATCACTAGTGCACATATACATTGCATATTATTCTCATTTCCTGTGGTGGCCAAACAAGTTATCTCTTTAACACTGGGCAGGTCCAAACAGAATAAACAAACAGAAAATGAGAACCCTGGATATTTTTCTGTCCCTTAAAAAATAAAACAAAATAGACTTCCCACAATTGAAGGCTTTTTCCAGAACAATCCAGAAAAGATTTTTTACCTCCATGGCAAAATTTTGATGATTAATTCTGAGGCTTTCACAAAGAGATGATGTCCAATGTTGCTGCAAATATGAATTTGAATATGCTTAAGCTTGCATTGTAAATATTGTGCAACTGTCTAGTGGCATGCCTTGTACTCCACTCTTCCTCATAAGAGTTCAATCTGACCTTGTCCCAATTCCCATATTGCAGTTCCAACCTTTCACGCTCAGATTGTAAGAATCTTTGAAGGCTGGCCCTCCAGCACTATGTTTACATTCAGATAGAGAAATAAGTAATGAATGTTTAGCTTAGACTCATCAGTTATCATATGCTCCCTTCATCTCTGGCATAGCCACAAGATCAGAAACTTTCATTAACGACAATTATTCATTAAGTTGAGATTCAAGGCCCTATTTTGGCATTATAGTACAACCTCCATATCTGCGGGACAGTTATCTGTGGTTTCATTTATCAGTGTCTGACAAAGGTGTTCTTTCTGAGCATTTTCTAGGTCCTCCAGCACAACTCTATAGTATTTTTTGGGCCAAAGGGCTTTTATTTCAATCAAGTTAACTGTTATTCATGGTTTCATGTATCCACATAAAATTTGGGAATGTATCCCCTACAGATATGGCGGACATGCTGCAGTCATTCTGACTGTGGTTACCACTCCTTTGATAATTTATTGTTATGTTTGAATGCAGCATGAGAACAGCAACCTTTTCAGTCATGCTGACTAATCAGGAATGCACAAAAAAGACCAATTGAAAACACTGTATTTTTTCTTTACAAGTAGAGAATGTCTTCGTCAATGGTCATGTTAAGAAATTGCATAGAGAGCTCTGACTTTTGGCATGCCTTTTGGTGATCTGCTTCAGATTTCTTGTTCTCCCTTACTTCACAGCAAATCCTTGTTAAGTACACTTTCTATTGCCAAAAAATGATAGAGCTCAATACATAAAAATGGTGCAGAACTCATTTGGAGAAGTCTTTTTGTTGTTGTTGGATACTAGCAGGTCTCATTTGCTAAATGAGGGGTGTGAATCAAGTGATCATCCAAATGTTTTTAGACTACATTTCCCATCAGGCCTACCAAACTGGGCTACTGGTGAAGAAGGCTGGAAGATGAAGTCAACACTATCTGAAGAGATGCTGAATCCCCACCTATGTTCTATTTTACTATGTGTGTCTTAAAGAAAACAAGCTGGAACAGAAAAATAGTAGTCTCGTGGCACAAATGGATTGTGATCTGTGAATGCTCATGATAGATTTTGTTTTCAATTTACCACAAGACTGATTTCTCTCCTGGCTTTTTAAATAGCTGATAAACATAGGTACAAATAAAGTTATTTGTAGGAATCTTCACAAGTATATGGACCCACCACTAGATGTCACCAGCAAACAATTCTTATACAATTCTTATACAAGCAAAGTCCTATCAACATCTATTGGCCTATTTTCCCTTTCCTTCCCTTCCCTTCCTCCAGTCCAGTTCTGTCAAGTATTAATGGGGGTGCCTAGGTGGAAAAATTCATTATATGTTTTATTAATATACTAGCTGTCCCCGACCACGCTTTGCTGTGGCCTCAGTCTAGTTCCTTCCTTCTCTACCACTTTCCTTCCTTATCCACCCCCCCCCCCTTTTCTGTCCCTTCTCCTTTCCCTTCTTCCTTCCCGTGCACGCATGTTTGGCTCTCAAAGCTGATATGGCCAGCTCGTTCCCTTGTGCAGAAGGGGGCGGGGCCTGGTGAGTTGTTTCCACACATGCACTGTATCATCATTTAGGTTTTTTGGATTTTAAAGTCCCTTCCACTGTGGTTTTCCATGTTTTTTGAGTGATGGTCACTCACTGGTCTGTTAGGTGTCTTCTGTGTCATTTCCGCCAGTGGCTTTTGAGTTATGTTAATCCCACAAACGAACATTACATTTTTATTTATATAGATGATCACCTTTGGTCATGGATATGCATTTCATCCACCAATGAAATGTACTAGTAGCTAATATGTATGATCTGAAATAATATCAGAAATATTGGTGGGATAATAGATTTTTTTTCCTGTCAGGAGCGACTTGAGAAACTTGCAAATAGTTTCTGGTGTGAGAGAATTGGCCATCTGCAAGGACATTGCTCAGAGGATGCCCGGATGTTTTAATGTTTTACCATCCTTTTGGGAGGCTTCTCTCATGTCCCCACGTGGGGAGCCGGAGCTGACAGAGGAAGCTCATCCTCGCTCTCCCTAGATTCGAACTTGTGACCTATTGGCCTTCAGTTCTACTGGCACAAGGGTTTAACCCATTGTGCCACTGGGGGCTCCTGGGGTAATAGATACAAGAAGCCAAGAAGGTATTTTTCTCTCTCAAGCTATATCTGGTGTAGTGTATCTGACATGATGTAACAAATTGTGGATTTGCTATTTTGCATTTGAACAGTGTTTGTAATTATTTCTGAACAATCCAACTTTAGGAAGGTTGGGAATATGTATTCACACACAAAAGAAACACCGAGGGTTCTACTTTACAAAAATTTCAGAGCAAATTTTCATTCTTCTCGAGAAATGGTTCTGCGTAAGGTTAAGATAGAAAAACCGAGTGACAAGAAAGAGGACATTCCACAGATATATAAACCCCACTTGCCTAATTTCCAACAGACTTCACAACCTCTGAGGATGGCTGCCATAGATGCAGGTGAAACGTCAGGAGAGAATGCTTCTGGAACATGGTCATGCAGCCCGGAAAGCTCACAACAACTCAGAGAAAGAGGTTTCTTATAGGATGCTAGAAGTCTTGACCCAAGTAAACTGAGTTCTTTCAACAGGGTCATGATTTCAGTTGGAGAGAGAATAACTATAACAGAACCACATCAACTATGAACAGATGATTCTAGTGGACAAAAGCTAAAGGCAATCCTTCTGCCATAGATTATTAATGGTTAAAGACACAACTGTAGGCATGCAGATGTGTATTCAGCCAAAATGGGTGATGTATATTGCCAAGGTGACTTACAACTTAAATTAAAACAAAATGTAACAACAAAATCTTTTAAAAAGCAATTAAACACATTATCACATTAAAACACCATTAATTTAAGATGGTATAAACAGCATTAACACCAGTAAGAATAAAAGTAGTGCCCTGGTGTAGTAAAATACATGAGATAATTGCCAAATTTTCTGTTTTTAAAAAACGAGAGCGACTTGTCTAGCATTTGGGACAAGGAAGTTCTGCAGCTTGGAAGAAGGCTCTCTTCCATATTCTTATCAGACAGTCGTGGGACTAAGAGAAATCCCTCTCTTAAGGACTGAATGCTTTAGGCAGGCTCATTGTCCTTTAGTCTGACCTAAGCCATATAGGATTTACAGGACACAATGAGCATTTTGAAATAAAGTTGCAGCTACTGAAGCTGAAGCATCTTGGCCTCAGCATTTTGGGCCTGGAGAAGTT